TTTTTTTTTTTTTTTTTTTTTTTAAGGTGTTCATCAATATGACACAGATGGATGGATCAAATGCTCTTCATGAGTGTGACCATGGTGCAGCTGTGGGTGGCTGCCTGGGAAGGGACATAGCGTTATAGAGCATGAGAGGAAGATGGCACAATGAGTTCAGTTAACAAAGGCACTATCAGAATGACAGCAGGGCTGAGTCATCCCATCTGATTATCACCTACTTTTATGACCTGCCATTTTTCATTTTTCGCTGTTACTGATATGCTACCATTCTGAGTTTCATGAAAATACACTGATAGATGTGCTTCTTTTACTTCAAAAGATGCATTCGTTCTTGTACTCTGAAAGTGTATATGCAAAGGAGGAACCTGTGCCTGGGATGCCAAAGAACAGATAGTCATCTGAGATGGAACTTCTTATTTCAGAGATTAAATGTGGTATTTTAGCCAAATGCATTAGGATGAGGGGTGTTCTACTGTGAAGTGCTTATTTCTCTCAATTGTCTATAAGGGTGTCTAGACAGTAAGTGCAAGAGGGAGACGTCAAAAAGTAAGAATTTCACCCTCAGGTCTACACTAAGAATGATGTCTTCACTTTTTCAAGCCTCCCTTAAATTACCAGATCAATGTCAGCCAGTAGGGAGAACTCTTGATGTCTGAGGGGCAGCTTGCTTTGCCTTTGGTTGGTAAAGCCATGATAGCATGTTCTTCCTCAGCTTACAGACCCAGGGGTAGATATCCTTCTCAGTTGTCACTGGCTGGGGCATTATACTATTAGCAACGTCAGCAGGGAAAGGTATAAATAAGGAAATCATGCTGGTGTAGTCTAGCAGTGTACACAGTTTGGAGCAGCACTTATTTTTAAAGGAAAGAGGAAGAATAACTGTCATGGTCACAAATACGTGGTTTGGATAGTTGCCCGAAGAGTCAGAAGTTGCTTAATAAAGTAGTTAGTGTTGCTGTCTTGAACAGATCTCCTGTTTCTCTAACCTGCAAATGTTGTGTTGAAGTTCTAGGAAAAGGTCACTTGGTGTTTGGCTAACACATTCATGGCATCCTCAGAAATACCTGTGCATCATTGTGGGTAACCCTGCATACTTCCCATGCAGAGTACCATGCATATGAATCCAACGTGACATAAAGCACCAGCACTGCTAACTTCACCTCACCTGATTGTCAACAGGAGTAGCTGCAGCTTTAGTCCTTGTGCTTGCAGGACAGCATGAACAGACTTAATCAAAAAGCAGAAGAGTGCTTATGCACCGAAGGGCTTTCTTCTTTCTTTGATGCCAAAATCATGTAACAACAAATGGCATTCTGAAGACACAGAAAAAAATCTTTACATTTCTTTTTTCCATATCAATTCAGTGTGCGTGTCAGTTCTCAAAGGGCTGAACTTTCCAGGCAGGCTCCAGGCATGTACCTCTTTTGGGGTTTAAGACTATATGGATAAAGCCTTAGGAAACTCAGGCCGATTGTGACACCAGATTGAACTGGAGAAGCATAAAAAAATACTACAATCCAGGAATCTTTAAACTGCTTCCTGTGAGCTTTCTCTCAGGCACTGTGGGAGGAAGCAATGCAGAAAGGAATTTGCTCTGCAGTGGCAGGAAGGCAGACTTATCCTCTCTTTTTTCCTTTCTCCTTCTAGGTACTCAGCTTGTATAACACCATAAATCCAGAAGCTTCTGCCTCTCCATGCTGTGTGTCCCAGGATTTGGAACCCCTCACCATCCTCTACTACATTGGCAAAACACCCAAAATCGAACAGCTATCCAACATGATCGTAAAGTCTTGCAAATGCAGCTAAAGAGTAACCCTGAAGCAGCATGACGTGTGTGTATTAAAAAAATAACCAAGGAAAAAAAGAAAGAGAGAGTGAGAAGGAAGGAAAGAAAACCGAAAATCCAGGTTCATCAGTGTTAAAAGAAAAATAAAAAAGAAGAAGAAGAAAAAAAGCGGTACTAGACTGAACTGTTTGAAAGTTTGTTTGTTTGTTTTTAAACTGGCATCTGAAGCAAAACATTGAAGGCCTTTATCCTACTTTTCACCTAGACATAGTGTGAGATAGACAAAGAGCAAAGTTAAAGAAAAAAAGCAACCTTTTAAAAATAAACACTGGAAGAAATTTGTTAGCATTACTATGTGAAAGGAAAAAAACAGGAAAATCCCATGAAGTGGAGTTGCTGTATCTGTCCCGTGCCTTACTTGATCTCTCTGTATTGTTACGCAATAGGCATCCTACCCATTCCTCTTAGTTGTAGAGTTAACAGTGCATTATTTATTTGTGTGTAAAAACTATCAAATGAACATTTCTGTATCACCATTGGAAAAAAGAAAACCAGCCAATGTGGACAAAGTGGAGACCAAATAAACTGCCAGAAATACATGCAAAGCCTAGAGGAACGCAAACTCAAAAGAATCGGAGACATAATGGTTAGTTTAGTTCGATTAAAATAGAAATCAGTTATTACATTATTGAGAAACTCTGCCTTTAAATTACCTTATTTTTCATGCCAGCTGCCTGGAGAGGCTTCCTGTAAAGGTCTCAAACCCTTGTTTTAAATACTGAATAATTTACTAATAAAGGACACTCTGTTTCAGTCTCAAAGACAAGTCTATAAGTTTGTGGGGTTTTTTTACTGTAAAATGTCAGTTTAGTAAACCAGTGAAATATTTAACATGTACTGGTCTAATCTTCAGACCTTAATATGTTGCTGTATAGCTATGCTATGGGATTTTTTTGTTCTTTTGGTATATGTAACCATACCTAGAGTATTACAATAGGTGGGTAGTAAAAGCCAGCTTAATTGGAAACATATCTGTAGATCTCTATTTGTAAACAATTAAAAAATTAAGTACTTTATGTGTAATGTGTAAATTTTCACCATATTTTTGTACTCTTTAATACTGTCAGCTCTCATGAGTTTGAAATTGAATTTGGGGCTCTTTTTTGATCACTCGGAATCATGTGTTTCCCTCTAGCTGGCCAGTATGAGTAGAGTCCCTATATTTTGACTTGCACTACAAATACATGTTTTATAATAATTGCTATACATGTGCTTTGTATATTGTTCATCATTATGACATAAGCTACCTGACTCCATTTGTTTTTCTGTTTTATAAAAAAGATGGGTTAAAATTATCTCTACCCCCCTCCTTCCTCCCCTCCTCGGTTGTCCCCGTTTGTGACACATGAATTGTGTCGCGGTTTGGGTTCCTGGACCTTTTTATTTCCTTTATATAGACATTCAAACAGATGGGCAGGGAGCCGAGGTGTTGCAAGAAGAGGTGGCCCAGCCTGGCCAAGGTGGGGCAAACCCTTGCAGAGAATGACATTCACCACTGTGCAGAAGGCAGGTAGGAAGTGTCTGCTGCAGCGATGCGCCGGTCGGGGCATGAGCAGGATTGGTTTGCAGTCAGGGGCCGTGTCTTGGCCTCGCAGTCAGTCTGTGGCACCAATCCTTCTCCTGCTGCAGGTAACAGAGGTTTGACTTTAACCTCTGTGCAGCAGCACAGCAGGCCCCTTTAGGCTGTTGGTGTGCGTGTTCAGATTAGCAGGATCAGATCCTTGATTTTTGTGAGCTTGTAATTTTTCTTTTTCCGATTTGGTTCACGTTAAAGCTTCTTCTAAAAGAAGAAGCAAAAAGGAACACGGGTTCCTAGGATTTTGTTGTAACATGTTTAAATACTGTAGAGGGAGTAAAAAAAAAAACCCCACATCATACTCTTCACTTTAAAAAAAGCCCCAGCCTAAATTAGGTAAAAAAAACATGAAGAAGGTGCATTCAGTTCTTTTCACATGATGAATGGTTTTGCACAGCAAAACTGGAAAACTTTCTTAGAAATACACTATTTGGATGCAAAAGACGTTTTCTGTCATTGACCCGCGTGGTGTCGGGAGGGCGTTGTGGAGCTTGATGTTGTCAGCTCCAGTTTTAAGAAGTGCAAATTCCTTGGCTTCAGCAGAACACTGATGCAAAACTGAAGTACCCCAGTGGCTTGCACATGCAGCTCCTCAGGACTTCAGTAGAGCTTGTGCTTATTGCCTAGATGGAAACGTAGCCCTACAGATGATCTAATCCCACCCATGGACTCAGCACAGAGGAGGAGGTATTTTAAACTTCTGATTTATTTAGTGAGTTAAGATGAACAAGTGAAAAATCTGTCCTGCTATCACTAGCTTGAGCCAGACTTACTCCAGTGAGAAGATGCACTGAACTCAGTGAAACTCCTCAGGGTAGTAAATACTCTGGATTTTGTTGTATACAGCAGCAAAATTAGTTTTATCAGGTTCAGTATGAGACCTGTATTTTTGTTGGACAGGAAAAGAGGCAAGGTTGAACACTTTTTAAAACTTAAAAACATTTTTGCGATTCTCTGCTATGGGAATGCAGCTGAAAACCATTTTTGAAGCTTTGAAGAAATGGAATAGGAGATATGACATAGTTGTCCAACTATACTTGCTATGCGCTGGACGCAGCTGATAATTTCGGTTTGGGTTTGGAATTTTTCTCTAAATTTAAGTATTGATCTTTATTTCTGTGACTCATTACCCCAAGACCAAATACTTTTTTTTTCTTTTAACATTTTTTTCCTCAAAATGCACTGATAGTATTTGAAATAATCTACTATATAGCTCCTAAAAATCTTTTTGTTTGTTTCTTTGTTTATTAGGCATGTATTTCCCTTTAATTACCAAGGATGTTAGGCCTGATCTTACAATGTGCAGAACTCATGGGTGAAATTCCCCTCTACAAAGTGGGATAATGTGAGTCCAAAGCACCGCTCAGGTCTGATGTAAATCCCCCTCAAATGATCTTTAGATTGGTCTGCAACAACTCAAGGACTTTGTGCCAGAGGCTTTATCATGACGAGGTAATTGCCACTGAGCGAAGTCCCTGCAAGCTGATGGAAAATGTTCAGCACCTTGAAAGATCAGACCCAAGGTATTATCTGGGGCTGAGGAGAAATCTAAGCACTTAGCTGGGTGGGGTAGGACAGCATTTTTTAATGTGTTTAGCATCAATACAATTGTATGGTTGGCATGGTTTAAAGGAGAAAAAAAAAAAAAAGAACTTAAAGGACAGCTGTGTTGTACTTTGGTGATCGATTACTCTGTATTTTAACACATTGTATGTCTGTTTTTGTGGTGCTTTAGTGGTAAATAAATTATTTCAATTATATGCTGGTGTTGCTTTTGTGTGGCAGTGTTCTTCTGGTGCAGGAGATGTGTCAGCTCTGGTTCAGCTGAATCCCTGCAAAGCCTAATTAGGTGTGTGATTTCAGTGTGTGTGACCTTGATGTAGCCTGGCACAGGCTGAGGCAAAGAAAAAACATCCAGGGTGAGCGTGGATCGTGTCTGTTCTGAGAATTGCTTTCCTCTCAGACAAGAACTGGCTTCTGGTTGACTGCTGAGCAGCAGCACTGAGCTATGTGTGCACAAGACAGATACTGCCCTGGGCAGGAGTGGTGTCACCGTGCAGCCCCACTGGGCCTGATCCCTCTCTAGAACCATGCCCTGGCAGTCCTGGTACTGCAGGCACCAGCTTTGGTGGTGTTCATCTGGTAGATGATCTCAAAGTAGTTTCTTCCTCATTTCTGTAGTGCTGTGGGAGGTGAGAAGGTGAAATCTGTTTCATGGTGCCCATACAGTAAGAGGTCCCACACCTTTGTGTCCCTCAGGAGAGCTCAGTGAAACTGTTAGGTTTGGATGTCACACAAAATAGTCTACAATGGGATGAGATAGAGTATTGGAGGAGAGGCAACAGACACAAGTTGGAACACAGCTAATTTTGGCTTTATGCAAGGAAAACATATTTACAGTGGAGCTGGCCAAGCCCTGGAACAGGTTGTCTAGAAAGGGCATGACATCTTCATCCATGGAGATCCTCATGGCTGAGGCTCCAGGCAGTCTGCTCCCACTGCCCCTACTCTCAGCAGTAGGTTGGGCTGGAGACCCCATAGACTCCTGTCTACCCCCCATGAGTCTATGAAAATTCATGGTCCATGCCAATCACTCTTCCTTTCATTGGCTAAAAGGGTGCAAGAAACACTGGTGCTCAACTGCCTCAGCTATTTCAGTTTGCCAGCAGCAGCCACGTAGCCACGTGGAAGTGTTTTTTTTGGACCAAATAAGATCCCCTAGTTTGTTGCAAGTCTCTTTCCATGAACTCTGCTATATGCAATTGCATTATCTAAGCAAGTAAGAATTAAGGAGCTTGATATTGCAGCTTTTTTTTTTTTTTTTTTTTTTTTTTTTTTAATCAGACCTTCTGTAGCTCTAGTCAAATAAATAAAACTGTTAGGAGGAAGGGCTGCAGTATTGAATCATTACTTTTTAAGTTGATAAAATCATATATGAAAATGCTTTCCGATCAGGGACTGATGATGAGGAGTGAGGATCTGCTTTTCCTGGTGCCTTCTCTGAGGTCTAAGCGGTGCATAGCATTTATTGGCAGGAATGAACAACTATGTTTACACCAGATTGTTTAGTGTTGTTGTGATAAATTAGAACAAATGCACCCCATGGTCTGTAAATATGTGTTAAAAAATGCAACTTGTGATGATAATTAAAAACAATCTAGGGGCCATTTCACCACAGTTGTGCTCCAGCCTGACAGTGATCTGCCTTAATTGATTTCAGTGAGTTTATACTAGCATAAAACTATGGTCCTGCAAACATTGCCAAACACTAATTTGCCTTCTGCATACTTTTAGATACCCAGGTATATTCTTTGACATGAATATAATGGGCCAGCCCCATTCTTATCCAAGGTAGCCCTCACACGGTTCTGTCTCCTGTATTTCTGAAATCAGTGAAGAGCACAAGGATTTAAGGAGGAGTGTTGATAAGAAATTTTAGATGGGAAAGTGGTTGTAGTGCCTATAACTAAAGAGGAACAAAGTGGTGGGAACACAGTGTGCTAAAGAGATTTTATAGTGTGGGGCTGAAATGATGGAAGTTCTCCCATGATCATGAAATTTATGCAAAATATTTTGATGCTGGGCTCGTCTTTTCCTTTCAGTAACACAGTCTCTCCAGACTGTATCAGTGAAGGCCTTGCTGCTTTGCTTGAATCAAATTGTGGTCAATAAATGTGGCATATTCAATATAGGAAAAAACCCAAACCATGTAAATTTCTTGAAAACCATTTTTTAGGCCAAAATCTGCCTCCTGGATCAGACAGAACAGATTCTTTGAGGAGCCATGAGTTCTGGAAGAAAATAAACCAAGAGGTTATGTAATTATATGTGGTTATAAAGTAGATGTGAAGTAATGTAGTTGGCTTGTCAGTGGGTATGGGTGTAACAGTAATTTCTTCATCTGTATAAAAATAAAATTAAATGGAACAGAAAGCTGATGAGAACTTCCAATCAAATTTGATATGCTCATTTAATGAAGTAACCTGCTGGAATCTAATACAGAACCCCTGAAGTATAAATCTTTCTTAAAACATATGGTGGTCCAAGAAATAAGTATTTCCTTAGAGTGGGGTGTGTTAGTGCCAAACCAAGATGATGGCAGGAATGGAGGAATGGCCAGTGGTCACTGATTTCTGGGTCTCTTTGCACATACTGTAGGTAGGTCCCAAGTAAAAGACCCACACAACTCATGCCACAAACACTTGCCACAAGAAAGGAAACAAGGAAAGTACAAATGGCAAATGGGATCTGAGACAGTTTTTTTGTTTAATGAAGTACAGCATGAGGCTCAGAAAGGAGTTCTTACATACAATTTCATCCAGGTAATAAGAGATGGATCAAACAAAAATGTTAACGTGAGTTACCAAAGTAAAAAATTAAGTGTTTGGGGCTCTAATGTAGTGTTCCAACCTGAACCACTTCTACAAAATTCAGTTAGGTCCAATCCCTGCAACTGGTTTGTAACCAAACTTTAATTACTAAGTTCACTGTTGGGGCGTGTAAGGCTTTTAACTTAAGATGCCAGAAGTCATTGCACTTGAATAGCTCAGAGCATGCCAGCTGCAAATGTCACAGAATAGTCTTTGTTTTTTTCCCCCCCAAGTACCAAAATGTATAAATCTAATTGCTATTGACAGCAATGGCAATCAGAAACAAGCAGTGTCTGTACACATCAAGATGGTTCCCAGAGAACTGGTAGTGGGACACAATATCTTAGGTCACCTCTTTCTTCAGTGATTTAA